AATTTTCTTGAAATATGTGGGCTAACCCCTATGAAAAAGCTGAATTTTCTAGTTAAATACTATATATACTATTTATCATCTTTCGTGTTATTTAAAAAAATACATAAACGCACTCCAAATTTTTATATATATTTTCTAAACTTATCTTTATGGTACATCTGAATTATTTTAAATTTTCCAATGATTAATTTATTTAACACTAGGGAAGGCCCGCCCTACGGGCGGGAAATAAAAAATACAAATTACTTAATTTGTCTATGTATTCTTAACTAAAATTAACATTAATTTTCATATTTTTTACTAAAACAATTTATCAATTTATTTAACTATTCATTTTAAAAATCATACTTATTAGTGGTTAAAAGATTTATAGGATATTATTATTTTTCTTTCTTTTAATGTTTGTTTTATTTTTATTATAGTAATAGTTCGAATTAATTTTTTTTAAATTGCTCGATGAGTTTCATGAAATTATAAGTAACATGTTATCCTTTTTTAAAAATACATCAAAATTATTAAAAAGAAGAAAGTGAAACAATTGTATTAACCCCAGTTTCATTGAATGAGGCGTTTCAATGGCGGTGCATAGCTTATGTGAAAGGTAAGGACATATTTAGCTCCGGTCTCTTATCCAGAGTTTTTAATTCATGATTTAACGATTTTTTTTTGCACTTACATGTCTTAAACCATGATTAACCCCAGTTTTTTAACTGGGTTCTTAGCTTCGGCTAAGAGACGGTTTTTAGTTTTTCTTAGATTTTTAGTTAAGAATAGTTAAGAACCGTATCTTAGATAATAGATATAAGAGTCGTTTCTTAGTTAAAAAGTGTACAAAAATAATATTAAGTCATGAGTTAAAAATCCCGGTAAGAGGCTAGGATTAATCATGCCCTAAAGGGTTAACGATGATGAAATATGGGTTCACCAACAATTGGCCAGTAAGTAAAGAATGCAACTGCTCAACATGGCCCATAAACGAACATACCGATTTCAGAAATGTTTAAATCCGAGGGTAGTACTGTAGCTTTGACAAAATAAATAAAGAAAACGCAGGCCCAAAAATTGTAAATGCAAAATCCAATGTAATCGAAACCAAAACGCAACCAAAAAATCTCATTAACAATGATACATGTGTTGATTTCTTACAATCCTATTTATCTAGGTGACATCTCAAGAAGAGAGAAAATCTGTTCTTTAATTGTATTATGTGTTATTTCTATTATGAGAGAATGGTAAAAGCATTACTTGTTAGGTATTGTTTAATTTCATGTCGTATTGATTGGTTGACTTTATCCGTAAGTTAGCTTTCAGACGGAGTCTTATTCAAGACAGAATTGAAACTGAGGTCTTCTGAATCGTTTGAGTCTTGAGCTGTGCAGTCGCCCTTAACAGTGATAGCTTTCTTGGTTATTTTTTTTTTTGCCTCGACAATCCTCTAAATAATTAGGGGTGTTAGTGAATACATAATTTTAATAGAATTCAAATTACATCTGGTAATTAGAGTCTGAGTGCATTTCTATGGAATTTGGGGCTTCCAATACACTACTCGTGGATTTGGTTTGTAATTCATTTAGTAACTGCTGTAGAGCTTTTTTTTTTCGAAAACACTGAGGTTTTTCTAATACCAAAAAACATTGAGTTTTTTTTATTTAAAACAATTTTTAATTTAATTTGTTAGACAGTTAAAATATGGAAACTTTTACAAATGTAGCAAAAACGGTTCCGGATCATCTTCAACCTATTGATCTCATCTTCTATTATTAGACTTTTCTAAACGTAAATTTGTTTTTGCATATTCCAAATAAATCAGACCAATTGTTACATATCATCATCAATTTGGACTTCTCTATCTTGATAATAATTATTATTTGGNAGACAGTTAAAATATGGAAACTTTTACAAATGTAGCAAAAACGGTTCCGGATCATCTTCAACCTATTGATCTCATCTTCTATTATTAGACTTTTCTAAACGTAAATTTGTTTTTGCATATTCCAAATAAATCAGACCAATTGTTACATATCATCATCAATTTGGACTTCTCTATCTTGATAATAATTATTATTTGGACAAAGATTCTTGCGCCTAGAATTTTTTGCAGACACTTTAAGTGTGTTATTTCTCTGCCAAAACTAACATCCTTTAATCAAGGGTTGAGAATGTAATAGATAAGATGCCTCGTGCTCTTTGAATAAAAGAAAGTCTTCCGTGCTCTAGTATTTTATTTACAGATGAATTCCTTCAAAATATTAAGCCAAAGGCTTGTATTTGTTTTACTCTATTTTCAGATACAAAATTCCATTGAAATCCAAGAAAAGAAAATTCTAACAAAATCAAAGGGAAAGTGAATAACCACGATTTTAGCAGTATATTCTGGAGCAACCACAATTTCACTAAACAATTGAACTGAATACACTACGGAACATCACCGCTATAATTTACGTCATCGACCACGACAATGAAGGCTACAATAACACTAAAGACGATAACATGTCAACTTTTACAGAAACCCGGTAGGCCGCACCAAAAGGATTTTTGTGCTTCACAACTACGCATAACATGTTTCCAAATTCTAGATTGTCAAAAAGCGAGATTAAAAATTATAAATGGCTATTCAGAGCTAAGATCATATGGCCAATAAAAACGAAAACTTAAAAGTACTATACCCTTAAGACTATGGTGGCCAAACGATTACCTTTCCATGGAGCTGAAGCGCTGTGGCAATACTCGAGTATTCAGTTCAGTAAGGCTCTGTAGCAATGAAAACTCTAACTGAAAGCGGAAAGAAACTTGGAGGGAAAATCTCTTTTGAGATAGACAGGAATAGTAACTAATTAACTCAGTGGATAATTGTTAAATCAGCTCAGTGAGTATGTTGTTCTCAAGATAAAAATTCCTAGATCGTCTAAATTCAGTAAGTGATACGGAGTTCCTCAAGAATTATCAATTGAATTGCTTGCTTCATCTTTGAAAAAAAATTATGGCCACTTCAGAATTGTAACCTAAGTACACATCCTCTATTCCTGCTAAATCACATGTCTTTTCAGAGCCATAGACATAAGAGCCACCTAAAAAGTCCAACTTGGTCATTTCCTTTGCTTGTATGAATCGTGCAACTTAGTATTGTCTACGAATGCTGAGAAATAATTTTACTATCTTGAACTTATATATGCTACCAAAATAAAGTGTCGGATGCTTTAAAATAAGTGCTAATGTGGCACTTACCTTTTACTGCAAATTCCTCTGCCATATCATATATCTGATTCTGAATGTCTTTGGTAGGTCCGATTCTTCTAAGCTTTAGGGGTGAAGAGTAAGAGAGTTGTTAACTTTAAAGAAAAATATAAGCATCATAACTTTAGGAAAAATAATAATCTCCAGACAGCAACTTCAAGTAACTTTAAGGAAAAGTATCTCACCACACTAAAGAACAGGTTCCACCAACTTATAGGTGAGTATCCTTGAGGAATTGTCTCCGAAATACTTTCCCATGGCATCTGAGATGAGGGTAACATTTCTCCCTGCGTCCACGTCGTCTCTGTCCCCTAGTGGCAAAAGAAAAAAAGAAAAAAAGAAAAAAAGTAATCACTGAGTCAATATGTATAAAATTCAGCATATACTATATTAGATCATAGATTGTTTGTAGTCATTCAATTGAAGTCCTTAAATAAATATGGAGATGACTGAATCATGTTTGACAATTCATTTGGTCACAACTCATCCTATATTAAAAAAGTAACAGTACATTCCATCACAAAACAAATCGGAAAGATGCTCCTGAGACTTACAAACTTAGCTAGTCACATGAAAATGCAAGGTGATAATCCAAGCAACAAATACTCTCCTGCAAAAAATAAACTTAAACTAAAAAGCTGTTTACTTTGTCTAACTGAATCTTTGATCTTATCAGCCTCTGGAAACCTGCAAACAAATAATGGTGTGATAATGTTTGGCTTCAGGGAATAAACTATCTGTCCGAGTGATACATCTATATCTGCTCAAATCAGCAAGTAGAATAGAAGAGTAAGCCATTATAATGAGAAACAAAATTCTATTGCTAATCGAATTCTGATGATTCTCAGAGATGAAGGCTTACCTTTTATAGGTGTAGATACACATCCATGGAGAAGTAAGGGTAGCATTGAATGTCAGCTTGTGTTTGATGTGGGTCGCTTGAGTTAAATAGACGATAAAGGATGATGATTATGTAACTCGGCAAGTTTGATAGATTATGACGAAAGACTAAACGACAGCCTGATTGAAGAGACACATGAATATCCTCCATTGTTGGGGTAAAAGAACGAATATTAACACCGTCGTTGTCGGAGATCGAAGAGGATTGCAAACCCTAGAATTTGGTTTGAAGACGGACGGGAGACGATGAGCGTAACTCGCCGTCATATGAATGAAAGGCTTGGGTATAATATGAAACGCAAAAAAGCGAAGCCCACTAAAAAAAACAAAAATATCTATTTGTACGCAGCGTTTGGTATTAGAAGACAGATGTCGCAATAAGGTGGACATAATTGATGAGCTGGCGCGTTAAGGAGGGATTAAACCCTTCTTTATATATTAAGATTCAAATACCACTTAATATGTGGATTAACCCCAATAAAAATCCTATTTTCTGGAGAAACGAAAATATTTAAGGTCTCAAACCTATTTAATATTCATACTATGGCGGTGTATGATGCATCTATGCATCAAAACAAAAATTCCATTTTTTATAATTTTCTTGAAATATGTGGGCTAACCCCTATGAAAAAGCTGAATTTTCTAGTTAAATACTATATATACTATTTAACATCTTTTGTGTTGTTTAAAAAATACCTAAACCCACTCNATACTATGGCGGTGTATGATGCATCTATGCATCAAAACAAAAATTCCATTTTTTATAATTTTCTTGAAATATGTGGGCTAACCCCTATGAAAAAGCTGAATTTTCTAGTTAAATACTATATATACTATTTAACATCTTTTGTGTTGTTTAAAAAATACCTAAACCCACTCCAAATATTTATATATGTTTGCTAAACTTAACTTTATGGTACGTGTGAATCATTTTAAATTTTTCAATGATTAATTTATTTAACATTCAAATACCACTTAATATGTGGATTAACCCCAATAAAAATCCTATTTTCTGGAGAAACGAAAATATTTAAGGTCTCAAACCTATTTAATATTCATACTATGGCGGTGTATGATGCATCTATGCATCAAAACAAAAATTCTATTTTTTTATAAAAAATTGAAATATGTGGGGTAACCCGTATAAAAAAGCTGAATTTTCCTTTTAATACTATATTTAGTATTTACCATATTTCGTGTTGTTTAAAAAATACCTAAATGCACTCCAACTTTTTATATATATTTGCTAAACTTATCTTTATGGTACATGTGAATCATTTTAAATTTTCCAATGATTAATTTATTTAACATTCAAATACCACTTAATATGTGGGTTAACCCCAATAAAAATCCTATTATCTGGAGAAACAAAAACATTTGAGGTCTCAAACCTATTTAATATTCGTACTATGGTGGTGTATGATGCATCTATGCATTAAAACAAAAATTCTATTTTTTATAAAAAATTTGAAATATGTGGGCTAACCCCTACGAAAAAACTAAATTTTTTAGTTAGTTACTATATATACTATTTACCATCTTTCGTGTTGTCTAAAAAAATACCTAAACACACTCCATATATTTATATATGTTTGCTAAACTTATCTTTATGGTACATGTGAATCATTTCAAATTTTCCAATGAATAATTTATTTAACATTCAAATACCATTTAATATGTGGATTAACCCCAATAAAAATCCTATTTTTAGAGAAACGAAAACATTTAAGGTCTCAAACCTATTTAATATTCATACTATGGCGGTGTATGATGCATCTATGCATCAAAACAAAAATTCCATTTTTTATAATTTTCTTGAAATATGTGGGCTAACCCCTATGAAAAAGCTGAATTTTCTAGTTAAATACTATATATACTATTTAACATCTTTTGTGTCGTTTAA